GTCTGGCGGCGGCGTTCCCCCGTTCTGGCGTGCGGCCGCGTGCGTTTCCCCCGGCGGGCGGCGGGGTGCGTTCCCCTAGTCTGGCGGCCTCGCCCTCGGTATTTCTATTTTCAACTTTCTGAGAAAGTGCCATACCGCCTTCCACAGTGGTTGCACCATTATACACTCCCACCAACAGTGTATAAGGGTTCCAGTTTTTCGGCAACCTCGCCAACATTTGTTGTTTGCTGCTCTGTTGAATTTTGCTATTCTTAATGGGGTGAGATGATATCTCATAGTTGTTTTGATTTGCATCTTAGAGCTAGGGATTTTGAGCACTTCTTCATGTGTTTGCTCATCTTTGGTGAAGTGTCCATATCCTGTGTCCATTTTGCAATTGGGTTGTTTACCTTTATCTTGTTGTGGTGCTCAAGTATTCTATACCTTCTAGATTTAAGTCCATTATCAGACATGTAATTTCAAAATATTTTTTCCCCAGTCTGTGGCTTCCCTTTTTACCCTGTTGGAGAAGTTTTTGGATGTTCATAGGGATTTTATTCTTAGAAGGTCACATTCATCTATTTTAGCCTTATGTTTTATAAAATCAATAATCGTTGGACCTTGCCCATCATTCTGCAACAAGCACTTTTTTAGTTCCACTTCATTTTCAACAATCAAGTTTGTGTCATCTGCCTAGCACAGGTTGTTGATGAGTTTTCCTCCAGTCCTGATGCCACATTCTTCTTCATAGAGTCTGGCTTCACAAATTACTTGCTCAGCATACATATAGAATAGATAGGGAGAAAGGATACAAACTTGACTCACACCCTTCCCAGTTTTAAACCATACAGTGTTTCATCGTCCTGTTCAGATAACAGCTTCTTGGTCTAAGTGTAAGTTTCATATCAAACACCTTTGCATAGTCAATAAAACTTAGAATAAAACATTCTGCTAATATTCTCTGCTTTCAGCCAGGACCCATCTGATACCAGTAATATATTTATATATTTAGTGCCATGGCCTCTTCTAAATTTAGCTTGAACTAACAATTAATTCCCTGTCACTGTTCCAGTCATTTTTTGATGACTTTCGGCAGTATTTTGCTTGCATGTGGTATTAATGATACTGTTTGATAATTTGAACATTCTGTTAGATCTCTTTTCTTGGGAATGGGAACAATTCTTCTCGTCAGTTGGCCAATCAGCTATCCTCCAAATTTCCTGGCATAGACCTGCAAGCACGTCCAAGGTTGCATCTGTTAGTTGAAAATCGTCAATTGGCATCCTATCTATTCCTTTATCAACCTAGAGCATCATAAAGAGAGAATGTGCTTGCTTCACACAATAGATTAGCCCATATTTAACAATGAATTTAAACTGTTAGGCTGTGACTGAATGTAGCCAAGTCATCAGGATTGTAACATCGCTACTTAATACATAGGTATCAACAAGCCACAGAACTTTGGGGTGCTGCCTCGCTGCTCTCATTATCAGTTTTAATAGTTCAGGTCAAGGAACTGCCAAGAATCCGGGGCTTAATTTTGCCAGTATCCTCTTTACAAGTTATTCTGTCTCTTGGAAGTTTATATGCAAACTTTTATGGGAAGCAAAACTTATGGGTTTCAAAAGAAGGAGCAACACCTAGGGATTTGCGTTTCCCACAAGCACCTCCTAAGAGATGGACTGACACAGCAGTTTCAACAATGGGCTCAAAACCACAGACCATTGAGAAGGACGAGACATTTCCTTTGCGGAGTGGGAATCCCCTCCAGGGCACCTAACAATGCAAGAGTGGATTTGCTGCAAATAGTTGAGAGATTTTGAATTACACAGCTGAGCGGGCATGGTTACATGAGTCATTAGCCCAAAGGAGCCCTATTTAGGCAACTTGTTGACTAAGGCTCAGTGCAGGCTTCTTTCTTATCCTCGAGAACCTAAAATGTGGGTGAGTCATTGAGAGAGTCCTTCTGGCGGCAGCTAAGAGGAAACTCGCCCACGCTCCAGGCCAGCAGCTGCCGGCTCCACCTGAATCACAGGTCTGGGAGGCGCCTCCGGGCCAGCCGTGCAGCCTGGTATTTAGGGCACTTCACTGGGTTTGCCACTAGATTGCACGACCTTCCAAAAGCCGACATTGCTTTGCAACAAGTGCAGCCCCGAGGACCAGTTGCGCACACGCGCCGCCAACAGAGACCGGAAACGCCCTCCGGACCCACCCCCTGCCCGTCGGAGCCGGAAGTGCGGCGTCCCCGCCAGTGCGTCGCCCGGCGCGGGCTCTGTACACGATGTTCCGCGGCCCAGGCCGCCTCCTCCGGGCCCCCGTAGCGCCTGCCGCGGCCCTGGCTGCGGCGCTGCTCTCGTCGCTGGCGCGCTGCTCCCACCTGGAGTCGGGGGATCCCGTGGCCTCGGCGCTCAGCCCCTACTTCGGCACCAAGACCCGCTACGAGGATGTCAACCCCGGGCTGCTGCCGGACCCCGAGGCGCCGCAGCGGGACCCGGAGTTGCTGGAGGGGACCTGCACGCCGGTGCAGCTGGTTGCCGTCATCCGCCATGGCACCCGCTACCCCACGGCCAAGCAGATCCGCAAGCTGCGACATCTGCATGAGCTGCTGCAGGCCCGCCGGCCGGGGGACGAGAAGGCCGGGGGTGCTGGCGGCCAGGACGTGGGCGCTGCGCTGGCCAACCGGCCCCTGTGGTACGCCGACTGGATGGACGGGCAGCTGGTGGAGAAAGGGAAGCAGGACATGCGACAGCTGGCGCAGCGGCTAGCCGCGCTCTTCCCGTCCCTTTTCGACCGCGAGAATTTCGGGCGCATGCAGCTCATCACTAGCTCCAAGCACCGCTGCGTGGACAGCGGTGTCGCCTTTCTGCAGGGCCTGTGGCAGCACTACTACCCCGGGCTGCCTCCGCCGGACGTCTCAGGTGACCACCGGCCCCCTAACCCTCGCACTACCGCGACTCCAAGACCTCAGCCCCTTGCCTAAGGCCCTCGCTCCCTAGGCGACACGTTCTGGCTCTTTGGATCTCCTAACCTGTCATTGACCCTCCTTCCCCTTTGAGCATCATCATCCCTGGAGGCAATGTTCAAGGCTAGTTTGTCTCGCTTCTCATACATTCATTCATTTATTTCTGTATCTAGTTTCTAGTCTGAGTTTAGCACTTTCACCGTGCACTGTAGTAGATGTTGAGGATCCAACAGAAGATAGATCTTTCTTGTAATTTTTAGTTTCCAAATTGAATTACTCCTCTGAGTATCCACCCACTCTGTTTTTCCCTCCCTGACAACAGGTTGCACTGTTGAGTGTACCAGTGTTTTGGGTTTTCTGGAGGCTCCTGGAACTTCAGGCTTTGCGTCTGACACGAGGGTTTTTTGTTTTTTTTTGTTTGTTTGTTTGTTTTTTACTTTTTGCAGATGCTTTCAAGTCGTCTTTACTGTCTGCTTTTTTCCTTCTCTTTCATCCTTTATGCTACAAAGTTCTCGTTGTCGCTGTAGTACACAGTCACGGGCTGTATTGTCGTTATTTATTTCATTCATTAAGAATCTTGTTCCCACGGAGCTGCTGGCAGATTCTAACTCCTTGAGGTCGGCCCCCTTTGGGTTAGCAGAAGAACTTCTCTATTAGCTCGGCCACCAGAACTCTTTTGAGTTTTTGTTTTGTAGATAAAGCTGCTGAATCTGGTAATGATTCCCCACAACTTTGAAGACTAGAGTATTAAGGCTGCTGAGGACAGTACATGGTCCTCATAGTCTATAGAGTGTTGTACTGCCAACCCTGTGGTGGGCAGTTCAAATCCACCACCTACTCTGCAGGCAAAAAATGGGCAGTCATCTCTGGTGTGATGTACAGCCTCTGAGAACCCCCTGGGGGACAGCCATGTATGGTTCGACAAGGAGTTGTTGAGCCAACTTTGCAGACACAGAGCACTGGTCGCCTGTTTTGTAGAGTTGCTCTGCCATGTCAATGCAGAGCCTCTCTGGTGGTTCGAATCCACCTGTAGGTCAGGGGAGAAAGATGGGCAGCCTCCTCCTGTGCGATTTTCAGTCTCCAAAAACCCCTGGGAGGGTCAGCGGTAAGTCCAGTTGTAGTGAATTGGAGTTTGAGGCATAGAGCCAGACGCAACCTTCCTTCGAAAAAGTGTTTTTCCTTTTAGAGGACTTTTAACAGTCACAGGTGTATCTCACCTGATTTCATTAAATCCTCATAACGCAACAGCTCTCTGAGATAAATGATATTTCTCACTCCCTGTCTACCTAACAGGGGAAATTGGCACAGGCATTATCTCATTTGTTCACTTTTGTGCAGCTAACATGGACCCAGCTAATCTGATTCAGAGCTTGTTCTTTTAGCCGTTACGCTATATAGTTTCCACTTGCCATGTGACATGCTTGATAAAAAGGGAACAGAACATTCTTGTGCCCTTCCTATCACAAATGTTAATGTTTCAAATGCACCAGATGCTCTGCTGAGAAAGGAGGGACAATCTCCTCCTGTACCAGTCAGATCTGATTTGACGGTACACACACATGAAAATAATAAAAAAATGTAAAAAACCCCCAAATGTTAATGCTTTCTTAAGAAATAATTTTAAAGTTAGTATTGAGATGAGGAACATCACTTGGCTTCAAATCCAAAGCGAAAAATAAATTACGGGTAGGCGGGTTTGTCGTTTTTTCCAGTGACATCCTCTCTGAAGCATTTAGCCATGTCCACAGTGTTCCTCCATTGCCTGGGTCCTTACTGTTTTGTGGGCAACTCAGTTGGCTGAATAGTTTAGTCACTTATTTGACTGTGCTTTTGAAGTTATAACTTGACTTTTTACCTGTAACATAGATGAAAGTTCCCGTGTCACAAAACTAAACTAGCCTGTTGCTGACAGACGAATCCAACTCATGGTTGCCCCATGTATTTCAGAGAAAAGAGTACTCCGTAGGGTGTTAGTGACTACAATGCTGTGGAAATATATTAGCAGCTGAGAGCAGAACATTTGTACAACCCAGGGACCTTCAAAAAGTCTTGCTTAAAAAGAATCCCGCACTGCTGTTGAATCAGTTCTGACCACTAGCAACCCTCCAGGGCTGCTCTTTAGGGTTTCCAAGGCTGTGTGAATCTTCGTGGAAGCAGACTGCCTCATCTTTCTCTCATGGGGCTGCTGGTGCGCGCAGTCATCAGACATTTGAGTTAGCAGCCCAATGCTTGGTCCACTGTGCTCCTAAAAAAGTCCCCGTAGATCTAAATTTAGCTGAATTTTGAATGTAGAACATGCTTTCATATAGAACTGTGTGCAGTGTATACCACAAAGGGCCTTCTGTGGTGAACGGCTTTTTGCCCTGAGGTGGCATTTGTGCGTATTGCACGTGCTTGCAGTACAAAGCCGGGGGATAGGTCTGGGTAGATCCAGCCCTCACCATTTTCAATCTCTCAGCTTAAACCCTTTGCTTAGCTACTTTTAGAGGCAATAGTTTCGCTTCTTGTATATAGGCTGGGCTTTTGAGGAAGGACACTGAATTTGATTTTGGATTTTATTTTTTTTCTAGAAACACAACATTCTCTTCTGTTTTCAGAGTAGTAATTAGATTATACCAAGACAAATACCAGGCTCCATGTGGACAATCCTATTTTGAGACCCCTTATTTTTCTAGTCAAGATACTATCTTTAGAATTCCATTCCATTTAACAATTACTATGGACTAAATGATTGATTTCTGGATCCACCAAATAAACATAGGCATCCAAAGCAAGAAAGTTATAACTGAGTTCGGTTTTATTTTGAATACAGAAGTGATATGTGTAGTACTCCTAAGGCAGATTGTTAGAGAAATGATTGAGATACGTATGTTTTGAACATGACACTGAAAGAATGTAAATGATACCTCAGTAGTTGACGCATTGATTTTTCAGCTGCTATATACATAGAGGCCATGGTCTTTGCAGTCACTTGCTATGTGTCAGAGAGCTAGACAATGATTAGGGAGGATATTGAATATACCATGGACTGCTAAGAAAACAAACAGGTTCATCCTGGAGAGGGTTAAACCAGGCTCTTGGGAGGCAAGGATTCTGAAGCTTTATCTGACATAATTTGTACATGTTGCAAGGAGGCACTAGTCCTTGGAGAAGGACATCATTTTTGGGAGGCTGGAGGGACAGCGCAGGAAAGGAAGAGCATCGATGAGATGGATTTGGTTCAGTGATTGGGTTAATGGGGGTAGGAGAGTCGGAGACAGGTTGGCACAGGATAGAGCAGGGTTTAGGGCTGTTGTAACAAATTTGAGGGTTAGTGCAAGAGAGGAAGACCCTAGATGAGATGGATTGACACAGTGACTGTAACAATGGGGAGAGAGGTGTGTCAGAAACAATTAGGTTGACTCAGTTTAGGGGAAGGTTGAGAGCTGTTGTTCATAGGGTCGCTAAAAGTCATCATTGACTTGACAGCAAACAACAGCAGCATATACCCATACATGTTTGTTGCTAAATTGAGGGGTGGGGGGACCATATGTTTTTGTTGTCAAATTGGAGAAATAACGTACCTATTGAATTCTACACAGATAATTCTGAGAGCTTCAGTTAGAAGATAAACCAAGTTAGAAACACCTAGTACAATGAAATACAGTAGATGTAATATATTTGAAACTCAGAAGTTCATCAAGTTCTGTTATTCATAGGGTCCCCATGAGTCATAGTCAACCCAAAGGTACCCAACAACAAAAACAAAATATTTACTGTATTTGATGCTATTGTCTATAATTTTTGCCCAAAGCAAATTATTTTGTAACATAGGTTTGGGAAGGTTAATAGAGAAAATGAAATATTTATTCTTGGACAAAGAGTAGAAAAACATTTAATATATTTTCTCTGACCTTGTGATTAAAATTCAGATTCATCTCTTTTGAGTCAGTTCTAACCTACAGTGACCCTCCAGTGGTTTCCAAGGTTGGAAATCAAAACAGGTTCCTGTAATCAAAACAGGAGGAGACTTTCTCCTGCAAAGCAGCTGGCAGGCCTTTCTACGAAGATGGCGCTGAAAGCGAAGAAGGAAGCCAAAGCAAAGGCATTAAAGGCAGTCTTAAAGGGCGTCCACAGCCAAAAAAAAAAAGATCCGCAAGTCACCCACCTTCCGGTGGCCTAAGATGCTGAGACTCCGACGGCAGCCCAAATACCCCCGGAAGAGTGCCCCCAGGAGAAACAAGCTTGACCACTATGTCATCATCAAATTTCCCCTGACCACTGAGTCAGCTATGAAGAAGATAGAAGATAACAACACACTTGTGTTCACTGTGGATGTCAAGGCCAATAAGCACCAAATTAAACAAGCTGTAAAGAAGCTCTATGACATTGATGTGGCTAAGGTCAACACTTTGATTAGGCCTGATGGAGAGAAGGCCTATGTTCGACTTGCTCCTGATTATGATGCTTGGGGTGTTGCTAACAAAATTGGGATCATCTAAACTGAGTCCAGCGGGCTAATTCTAAATATAAATTTTTCTCACAAAAAAAAGGAAAAAAAAGCAGCTGGCAGATTTGAACAGCCAGAGGCATGTGACACAGGTTGCTACTAGTTGTAATTATCTCAGAGCTCAAACTCATTGCTGTTGAGTCTATGTATCAATCCTTAACACAATCTGTTTAATTTTTTTCCTAGCATATTAATCACAGTGAAGAATTGCTTTACTCTATTTTTATTGGTCAATTTGTGCATATTTTATGCATTCATATGAATTGGTTGTTAAAATCCCTTTTCTCTATTGAAGCAAAATTTTCAGCAGTTGTAAATTGTTATCTGTGGAAATGCTTAACATATATATGTATCCCTTTCCCCTCCCTTTTTCCCTTTTAGACATGGAATGTGGACATCCAAGAATTAATGATAAACTAATGAGGTTCTTTGATCATTGCAAGAAGTTTTTAACTGAAGTAGAAGGAAATGCGACAGCTCTTTACCATGTAGAAGCCTTCAAAACTGGACCAGAAATGCAGGGCATTTTAAAGAAAGTTGCAGCTACTTTACAAGTGCCATTGAATCATTTAAATGCAGGTACTGTGCCTCTTACCTTCTTTTGAACGTCTGGTTTAAATGGTTTTTAAACTCTGATAATGCAACAAATGAGGAAGTACAAGTTGTTCTTTTTAAAGGACCACCATTAAATTTACCTTAAAAATCTAATGTGTACTAGAAAATGATTCTTTTTAGTTCATAATCTTTAGTTTATCTGTTTCAGTATCCTGTTCCATTTCTTGTTAGAGCAAAACTAAAAAAGCAAACCACTCTCATTAGTTGATTGTGACTCATAGTAACCCAATAGGAAGAGTAGAATTGACCCTTGAGGTTTTCAGGGCTAAGTCTTTATAGACGCTTGCTGCTTCACCTTTCTTCTGCAGAGCAGCTGGTGACTTTGAACTGCCAACCTTTCAGTTATCTGACAAGTACATTAACTACTGTGCCACCCCTAGAGTCAGAAATATGGATCCTCAGCTCCCAGCATTACTTCTTAAACTAAAATTACTTGTTCTGGTAATTAATTTTGTCTTCATAAAGTGTTACCAAATGAAAAATCATGTATAAAATACTATAGCTTTGGGAGAAGTTTAGAAACATGTTAATGTTTTGAGACAGGTCAATTTTAAAAGTTAAAAAAAACAGTCAAGTTTTTGGATTTGTTTTGTGTGTTTTTGTGGGTATTTTTTTAGGCTATACCTAGAAATTATTTTCCCCCTTTTTAAAAATTATTATTAATTTTGGTGAAAATTTACAGACTTTGGATTTCTATTCATTCATTGTTGCACTTTTCTCCCTGCCAGACCTCCCCCACAATTAACTGTTCTCTTTGAAAAGGAAAAGAAAAATTCTTTCATTGTTATACAGTCCCTCCCCACAGGTCCACTCCACTATGCAGTCTTCGTTCTGGACTCCTGTCATGATTAATACCTAATCACATATCCCTTTTAAACAGTTCTCTCCCTCATCTGTTTCAGTGCATTATACATATTTTATCCCATCTTTCTCAGTCTCCCCCCAGCGTGATGTCAGTCCCGTTTTACAACAGTACAACTATGCAGTATTTGACCTTTTGTGACTGAGATATTTCACTCAGCATAATGTCCTTCCAGGATCACCCATTTTGAATAGTATTTAATGAGTTCCTTGTTTTTCAATGCAGCATAGTATTCCATTGTGTGAGAAATTTTTTTTTATACTTCGACATGTTGAGAAATGAGAAGTCGTGTCAGTCATATGATATGAATGGGCTGACTGCAGTTTTTCATTCAAATTGGGACACTTTTGAGGGTGAAAAGGACATTATTAGTAATTACGCTGCAAAAGCAGATGGAAAACTTGTAGGTTTTTTTGTAGTTGTGTAACTAGAATTCTGAGTGTGAATGAACCTGTCATAAAAATAGATAATACTTGCAAAGCACTAAATTATAATAGATATTGAGTTTTTGAAACCATACGTTTATATAAGCACAGTTCATAATGAATTTGAAAAAGAAAAAGAAATTAACCCCCCCCCCAAAAAAAAGTATATTTTTTACCTTGTTTGCAAGTAATTTCTAATTAATAGAATCAAACACCATCCTCATGCCATTGGGTCTTTTCAGAGTCATGGTCACCTTATAGGACAGAATAGAAGTGCCTAAGAAGGTTTTTAAGTCTGTAAATACTTGTGGAAGCGGCTGCCACACCTTTATCCCACAGAACAGCTGGTGGCTTCACACAGATGCACATTCAGTAAGCAGCTGAGAGCTTTATCCACAGCTGTAGAGCAGAGGTGACCAGTATGCATACAAAAGTTGTGGATTTCTTTATATTTTAGATTCTTTGTAAAAAGACTAGAAGTAGAAGGGTTGAGAAAAGGAAGAATTTGTCAGTCATGAAGCCTAAATATTTATTTAAGCATTTGTAATTGAATTTTCCCCCCTCTTTACTCAAACTGGCCATATACTTAAAAAGATGCAAGTGTCTTTGAACACTACTAGAAAGCAATTCAGATATGTAAGTAAGTGCCTCATTCTAGGCCAGATGACTCTGTGTACAGGATGATTGATGTTAGAATTGATAGAAGCAGGTGCCCCAGTGTAGACTGGTGGTGGTGAAGGCTCAGCCACTGCTGTGGAGGTAGTAGTGGTCACATACTGCTGCCCCCAGCTGGCTGAACTGTTTTTACACGCACTTAGAACTGATCTCCATCAAAACCAGCAACTGCCTGTACCTTAAAGAATTGTTGTGTGATTCCCCCCCCCCAGTTAGCCTCCTTCCACTTAAAGAATTAACCGTTTGAACAGACATTTGTGTAACTAGAATTCTGAGTGTGAATGATCCTTTCATAAAAATAGATGATGTTTGCAAAAGACTATATTATAGTAGTTAGTGAGTTAACATACATTTATATAAGCAAAGCTCACAAAGGGTTTTATGTACCTTTCATATAACATATGTTATAGGAAAGATATGTATTATGTGTAATACTGTCTCTCAGGAGCTCTGGTGGCATAGTCTAATAGTCCAGAGATAGTGGTGTTTCTGCCTCTGATGGTTCAAAACCACCAGCAGCTTTGTGGGAGAAAGATGGGCAGTCTCCTCACATATAATTTAGAGCCTCAAACCAGGAGGGTCAGTGAGGAATAGGTACCAGCTTGTTGGCAGTGAGCTTATATCGCTTCTAGGAATCCTTTAAACTCAAGATGAATGCATAAAGGCTGTTTACCTTTGTGTGACCCTGGTTTACCTAGGAATAGTGAGAAGGCAAGGAAGTCTTAAGTCCAAATATTACAGAGAGCTGTGGTTGACAATTACTGTAACTGTAGCAGCAGTAAAAGCCACCTCCCTTCTCATTAACTATATAACATTTTTGTTACTGACAAGAACAGTTTTGTAGTCTATATTAATAATTTGTTCTGCCAAAATTAGTAGCAGACCAGTTGTAAGAAGTGCTGAGTTAACACTGTTCAAAATACCAGTCCCTCCTTTGTTCAGTTCTCTCATTCCTCTATGTCTCTTGGGTTCAGTGGTTCACTAGAAGGTTTCCCAGAGACTCAGAGTCATCAGGGGAATGACTCATGTGACTGTAGGTATGTAAGCCCATTGTGCAGAGACTGGTGAGCGTTGTAGACCATCCATTGCAGAGCAGGTATCCCCAAAAGAGAGCTAGCACTGAGGTCCCAGGATCTTGTACAAGCCTCTAGTAAAAAGGGTTGTATCCCACCCTAATCCTCTCTCTTTTTTTTACTTTTAATTTAAAATTTTTTTTATATACTGGTTTACTTACAAAGAATATATACATTGTTTTTCACACTGATCCTCTCTTCTTAATACAATAAATACTTCAGCACAAAATAAACAGTTACTTATTGGCTAGGAAAGATTTTTTTTCTTTCTATATTTTATTAATTTTCATAAACATTTACAGAGATTTTGGGTTTCCATTCATTCATTGTTGCACTATTCTCTCTACCCTCCTCCCAGTTTGTTCTTGTCCAAATGCCACGGTGCTTGTCAAAGCCAGTTCTGATTAATCTTGTCAGTGTGTCCTTTGCCATTCCCTATCACTCCTCCCTGAGAGAGACTTCACCCTGAGTCATAAGGAAAAGGGGATGGCGTATTCTCTTAGCTACTTCCTGCTGAAAAGGGACGCTGTGGGTTTCAGGGTGAAGATCTTCTCTCACTTCTAAAGGGCCCCTTTGGCAGTAGGAAACACATAGACTATTATGGAGATTGATTTTGGAATTTAGATGCACTCTTATTGATTGTGCTTGGCCGTACATATTCATATCCTTGAAGATGTATCATGGGGGTGTTGCAACCTAGAAGACACAAATTTGAAAAGATATTTTGAATGATAAACCTTTGTTACTACAGATAGTCCAAGTACCTGCTTCCTTATCCTGAGACTTGTATATAAAGAAAAGTAATCTAATCAGCTAATTAACAGCGGAGAAAATCTCAGATACTTTACTGTAAACCCACTGTCCATAGAGCAGCTAAGTGTGATGGAAGCTGGCACAGTTGGCGACTTTACTCTCCCTCCTCGGTGTGTTTTCCCCTTTTGTTCATCTCCTCCTGGACTCTTTCATCCTTTTCCTGTGCCCTCACTTATAATGTCTTTTCTTTTTCTACCTTCTATAGCCATTTTACTCTCCTTTGACATCCTCGCTGTACTTTCTTCTCAATAGTTTTATTTTGAACTGCATATGGTTGGTTTTTTTTTTTCCCAAAGCAACACCACAAGCAAAGCATATTGTTGAAGAAATATAATTTGTTAAACTAGCTCTTTTTATAACCTTATCTTCCCTCCTCTAAATTAACAAGATCATGTTATGCTTTACATAGTCTAATCCTTGAAGCAAAACCCTATGCTGAATTTGATAGGCAGACATGCTCTTCATAAATATATTCATTTTTCAAGCATAAAAAAAAGTTACTGTTTCATGGAGCAAAATTTCTTGGTTTCTTTGGACTGGAGTCCTCTTAGTTGTTATTCCCAAGAGTTCCCTTTCCACCCCTTTGGATAACACGGTTGTTGTTTGTTAGGGGCAGTCAGTTTGACTACTACTCATAGCAACCTATTAATAACAGATCTGAACCTTTTCCTATCCTGACCGTCCTCCCAATCTTTGATATATTGGAGCCCACTGGTAAAGTCACTGTGTCATTCATCTTGTTGAATTCCTTCTTTTCTTTCTCTGACCTTCCACTTTTCCTAGCCTGATATTTTTCCCCAAGACTGGACCCTTCTTGGGAAGCATGCTCAAAGTGAGCTGGAATGTCCCCATCCTTGCCTCTAAAGAGCACCCTGGTTCTACTTCCTCTAAGACAGAGCAAGTCTTAATGCTTTGATACCCAGTCAGAGACTAACTTTTCTAAACTAAGCATATCCAGTTTCTTTAGTTCTGTGTATTTCATCTACAGATATTTAGTCTCTGAAAAGTGCAGAAAATGGTAACCCACAAAAATGTACCTGTTTTTGTTTACAGATTTAATTCAAGTAGCTTTTTTCACGTGTTCATTTGATCTGGCAATTAAAGGCATTAAATCTCCTTGGTGTGATGTTTTTGACATAGATGATGCAAAGGTAGGTATCTCTCTGCTTTATTTGTATGATTTTTGTTTGCTTGGGTTTTTTTTTGTGTTTTGAAGTAGCTTTTCAGAAAACAGGAAAATGAGGAATATTAGCTGTCTTGGAACTAATTTGCAATTTTTCTTAAATAAAGAGAAATCTATACAGATAAATTCATTTATAAATTAGATTAATAAAACTCTGGAAAATATCTTTTAATGGTGATTAATTTCTTAAATCCAATCTGGTGAAAACCTTACTTAACCTGTCATTAAATTTTACTATAATAGGTAGTGTGGAATAACTCAAATTCTTTTTATAGGAAAACAGACTTCAGAAATGGAGATAAATGATTCCCTTCCAAAGGCCTATTTCCTTTGTAAGAGTTTTTCTGAGAAATCTTAGTTCTGCATATTACCTGAGGATGGCATTAATTAATCTACAACTTCTGTCTCCCCTCTTCAAATGCCTTTTTGTTCTCTTTAATATTACTCTCTTGAAGACTTTTCAGATTCTTAAAAGGGAATAAAGACGGAACTTCTGTAGGGAGGCAAATTATGGTCATTTGGGGATTGTCATGAGTCAGAGAGGGAGAATAAAAGAGTTTCACTTGTTTTCTTAAGCTTTGTGTAAAGAAGCACTGGATGAGGTTAGTCTGGATTATTTAGGATTATAGACTTCTGAAACAGTAGTCATTACTTACAAACGTGTTGTTAGGTACTATTGAGTTGTTATGACTCATAATGACCCTGTGAACAACATAACTGAACCCTGTTCTATTCTGTGCCAGCCTCATCATCCCTGACAACACTTGAGCCTATTGCTGCAGTCACAGTGTTAATCCATCTAAAACTCTAAATATTCCTTATGAAGATAAATTATTGATTTAAAAATTTAATCTCACATTTTGAAAAGATGCATATTATTGGAATGATAAAAAAAATCTAAGCTTTAAACAGAAAGCTAATGTTCATTTGAAGGTAAACAAGTGATTTATATTGTTCTTTGAAGATTTTATGTGGCCAGCAACCAAATCAAAGGGTTCTGTGGTATAGTGACAAGATACAGGGTAAGGGGGTAAGGGAAGAAAAAGACCCTCAATGAATTGATACCATAGGATGCTGAACACCGGTACTAAGTGATCATATTATTTTTTTCTTCTAACTACTCATGAAATCACTTTCTGATGACCTGCTATTTTCCTCTGTCTCTCCTCTAATTATTCGTAATTTAGCACTTCAAACATTTTCTGGTATACCCTTCCTTGAAGCACCCTGTGCTTAGTATAACCGTGTTATTATCTTGCAAATTGGCATAATGAAAGGGGCACTATTAATAATTATGCCTGAATAAATATAAATGTAGACCTACGGTTACTATACACTTGCATCAGAATTATCTCACTTCCCTCTCCACACAAATGTCTTTTTCTGCTGAAAAAAGAGATGATCACTGTTCATTGCTTATCACTCAGTGCTGAAAGCATTTGTTTTATAGTTTGATTTGTCTTCTGGATTTTGGCAGGAGGCTGTGTTTATCTATGACTCCATCATGGCAGATGATGTATTCTTTTAATATACTACTGAGTTTTATTTGATGTTTTATTTCAGAGTCATCAAATTATTTGTATAGTGAGATTGGTTTATGACAGTGACTCCTTTTTGGATGATATAATACAGGCACCCTTCTTTTTCTTTGCAGGGACTAAAAGTATAAGGGAATATTTTTCTTGGTAACAGTGGTTAGGGTCATGGTTGCTATTTTAGAGGATGAAGGCAAAGGACTCTTAACTATCTCCAAGTGCATTGATCTATAATTTCCCCCCTTTGTACTTCCTTTATCCAGTTCTGATGACAAAAAATTCTTTTGGTCTTTTAAAATGAGTTGACAAGTTTTCCATCTTCTTCTTCACTCTCTTGTTAGGTTCTGTTGAGTCAGCTGCAGCTCATAGTTACTCTGTGAACAAGAGACTGAACCTTGCCCTATCCTGTGCCATCTCCACAGTCTCCACCATCCTGAAGTCTGTTGTTGCAGTCACTGTGTCAGTCTTGTTGAGGGACTTCCCTTTTTCACTGACTCTCTGCTGTTCTAAGTGTGAAGGCTTTTCCCAAGAACTGATGCCTCCTGACAACGTGCCCAAAGTATGTGAGATGCAGTCTCACTGTTCTTGCTTCAGAGAACTCCTTGGTTTACACTTTGTCCAAAACAGATTTGTTTGGTTTTTTAGAAGTCCATGGAATATTCAGAACTTTCCACAAACACCACAATTCAAAGGCATCAGTTCTCTTTAGTCTTCCTTTTCATTATCCAACTTTCAGGTGCATAGGAAGAAATGGAAAATACCATGTTTTGGGGCAGGCACACTTTAGTCTTTAAACCGACATCTTTAGTCTGTAGAACTTTGGAGAGGTCCTTCTCTAAGAACTCTTTAAAGAGGAAAGGTTCACAACTCTTGTATAATCCTTCTCTTTTCTTCTCTTCTCTTCTCTTCTCTTCTCTTCTCTATCCTTCTTTTGAGTTGAAAGTTTTAATCATCCAGTTTTATGTTTAGCAAACTGATCAAATTAAACACCAGTACAAAGTTCAATGTTCAGATGAAGACTACCTCAATCACTAACTCCAGTTCTCAACCTTTTTTGCAGAGGTTAACCACTGCTGTCAGAGTGATATTTACCTCTCAAACCATTTTCTGTGTTTTACAGATCACATGTATCATTCTCAGAAATAGGAAGGTTGTAATGTGTATTTGTAGCGTATTTTGGTAGTTAAAGATGTTATACTGTAATTACTTTTCTCAGCCTGCATTTTTCATTCAATTATGTGTCTTAGAGATCTTTCCTTGTCAGTACATGTAGGTCTACAAGATGGAACTTTTTAGTAATTACACAGTCCTTGGATTGTGCACACGGTAAACATGCTTAGTCACTAACTGAAAGGTTGGAGAGTTGAATCTGCCATAGATCTACACCAGCCTTTGAAACCCTAGAGAACACAGCCCCACTCTCACACATGTGAGGCTGCCACTGGTCAGAATTGACTTGATAGCAACTCATTTATTGTATTTCATAATATTCCTAGTTTAAGGTTTGGAAGCAGGAGTGGCATCCACTTCCTAAATATGCCTCTGGACAGACACTCTATGAACTTTGATAAATGATGATAGTTGTAGAAAGGCTTCAGGCCTTTGTTCATAGGGTCGCTATGAGTTGTCCTTGACTCAATTGCAATCAACAACAGCAACAATATTTGTTAGTGTATGTGTTTATTTAACCATGTACCCAGTGGTAGAATATAACAACTTTCCTTCGCTCCCCACTCCTTGGGTTCTTTAAGGAGTACTAAAGAGCCCTGGGTAGCACACTGAGTAAGCACTTCACCACTAACTGAGAGGTTGACAGTTCTAATCTACTAGCCACTCCCTGGGAGAACAATGTGGAAGTCTGCATCTGTAAAGATTTCAGCAGTGAAAACTCTATGTCCTGGGTCACTGTGAGTTAGATTCAATGTGATGGCAATGGCTTTGGTTAGATCTAAAAGGAGTGCTGCTGCAAGCCATTCTTGTGCATTCTCCATTGCTTTTCTTCATGGGTATTGCTTTAGGCGATAGGGAGTTAATGAATTATACAGTATATATATATTTTTATGGATTTGCAGATTTGCTTCCAAAGTAACTTCTTTCCTTTTTAGTTTGTATCTTCCTAAAATTCTTAAGCATTCTTGATCCATGCCTGGCATCTTTTCTTGTGTTGTAGTGAATATTCTGCCTATGCCTGTCTTCTGACACATCTTTGCTATTATTGTATCAGAATTCTAAAAGAAAGTAGAAGTATTAAAGTCCTTAGTTCCTTATCTGAATTGTCATGGAGGATAGATTACTGTCTATAATTACATACTAATTTGCTCTTACATTTCAGCATCTGGATACTCAGGATACAAAGTTGTGACTCAACATAAATGTCTACAGGTCATAAATCTTTGGGGCCAGCTCTTAATACTTAAAAAGTCAAATAGAAAACCTGTAAATACTGAGATTCTATTATACTTTGCCAAAATGATAATTAAACAGTATCATCTTTTCTAAGAGACTTTTGAAATTCTCATTTCAGGTATTAGAGTATTTAAATGATCTGAAACAATACTGGAAAAGAGGATATGGTTATACTATTAATAGCCGATCCAGCTGCATCCTGTTTGAGGATATCTTTCGACATTTGGACAAAGCAGTTGAACAGAAACAAAGGTAAACATTTAGAAAAAGTTGTCGGACACTCTGAATGCCCAGTCAGGTTTCTCAAAAATGTTGTATAACATGTGGTTGCTGTATAGTGTTTGGTTGTAGTTTTTTTAAAAAAATGTTTTCATATAATATTTGACACCAAATAATTATTTAACATGTATATAAGTTACAAAGCATACAAACTCTCCACTCCGTTTAAGAAACAGATCATAACTTGCATGCTTTTTTTTTTAAATTTTATTAGGTAAAACATGTTAGGGATACACGGAGGTGAGGTTTGAGGGCAGAAGGGTGAGGATGGGCAGGGGTGAAAATTGCAGGGATGCAGTTGCAATGCTGCACAATTTGGTTGGTGGGGGGAGCAGGTGAAGGAAATGGAAAGCATCCAATAGGCACCAGATGATTCAGGGCAATGGTAATCATAGTCTAATGGTGATTAAACAAACTGTCTTTTTCACTTGTGGGTTTCCCTTTTGGGAATTGGGCACAGACTTTCTGGCTTCTTCATGCTGAACAGGGGTGTTGATGTGAAGGGGAAAAGGGAGCACACTTTATCAAAAAATATGGAACGCTTCACGAATTTGTGTGTCATCCTTGCGCAGGGGCCATGCTAATCTTCTCAGTATCTTTCCAGTTTTAGTACATGTGCTGCTGAAGCGAGCACGCATTTATATTTCTATGTGTTTGTAAAAGTGGCCACTAGAGGCATGTGATCTCTGAGAAGTGGGAGAGACACAGCCTCATCCTGATGCCTGTGAGGGGGAAGCACATCCTTCCTCTCTCCAAACTGTGAAAAATTTTAACACCAGCCATCCTTCCCTAAGGACTCCCCATTTCTCTTCTGGGTTTGATAATTTGTTGTTGATAATGGTAGTGGTACACGTCACAGATTGTACTCACAATTAGGGCTTATTTGGAGAGTCACAGGTTATAACTCGTATCAGAAGTTGCATAATACACTTTCTCTCCCAGGACAGCCTGTTTACAGCCTTGCCTATAGGCAGGATTCTCTCAAGCCCCAGGTCCCTTGGGCTTCTTGGGCGGCCCCACTGCTGACCTCCTCAGGAAAGGGCTAAGCACTCTAGCTCTGCTAGTACGTGCTTGGTGGTGACCTAGTTGTCCTCTGAGCCTACTTTGCCCAAATTCTATAACCTCAGCCCAGAGGTTGATGAATGGGGCTCTGCCCAGTGCCCTGAGGCACCCCACTTCAGCATCTAGCCTCCTGCCTGAAGACACCCACCTCTCTTTAGTGTGAGCTAAAAAAATTATACTAACTCATGGTTTTTTTCCTTGTTCTGCCTACTCTGCTGCCACCAGTTTTCTGTTCCTTCTCATTATCTTTCTCACCATCTTCATTCTGTTTTCTGGGTTATGCGCATTCATTTTGATTGATTGATTGATTGATTGTCTAGAAGATTCCCAGCACAGGGACCTTGAGTCCTAAGGATACACTGTTCTCCTGTCTCTCCTTGATAGTCAGGTTCCCCCTTCCCACCCTGCAGTGGCTCATTTTAAGCCTAAGAGGGTGGCAGAACTGACCAATCCTGTTCCATACACTTTGTTTGCATGCTCCCACTCCCACAGTGGTACTGAGTGCCTTAATTTGTGTGATTAGCAAGCTATCCAATTCCTTCAGTGGGTCACAAGCACCTTATTTTCATAGTTCCCTCCAGTCATTTGGTGGGAGTTATAAGACTTAAGCTGAAACAAAACTCAGATTCATTACCTTTGACTTGCAGCCAATTCAGAGCTGACTCTCTCCCTTCAGTTCACAAGCCTCTAAATTAAACGGGAGGAGATTGTCCACCACTTTCTCATGGAGCCACTGATGGACTCAAACCATCAGAGAGGTGTGATCTTTGGATGAGCAATACAGTCCTCTACAGAAATCAGTGGCTGGAAAGGTCATAGAACAGTAATCCATCACACCATAGTGTTTTTCACCAATTCTAGTTTCCTACTTCATCCATACCTCTTATCCTAAGTAACCACTGTTGTGGATTTTTTATTATTCCTTTGCCTCTATAAAATTGTTTTATCATGAATGTATTTGTGCTTAGACAATATTTAGTTTACTTAGAATCAAACTGCTTGCTGCCTTCTTAGATTTGCTTTTTATCTTCATCATTATGTTTATGCAAAATATTTATAGCATAGGTTGGTGAAGGGATATCTGCCAAACAAAATAGAAGTTGAAAGTCTTATCAAAGGATCAGCTTATGAAGTTTAAAAGCAAAAGTCTGAAAGTAACAGAGGCTTGTATTTTGTTTTGGTTTTATTGTTTTTCATACAATTTTTCCTGTACATTTTGTTTTATAATACTAACTACAATTCATCTAAGCTTTTTGTCATCACATCTCATCAAGTTCTCATCAAGTCTTTACTGCAGTTTACCTATTCCTTTTTTTTTTAAATGAGAAATGCTGCTTTTAAAATTTTGCACATCCAGACCATTAATTGTGTACAAGAAAGATCTTACATATAATAGCAGACAATAGGAGCTATTACCAAAACTGAGGCAGACTTGAAGTGTTTGCTGCAGAAGATTAAGGATGGTAGCCTTCAGTATGGATTGCATCTCATTGTGAAGGAAACAAAAATCCTTACCAACAGGCCAATTGGCAGCATCATGATAGATTGAGAAAAGGTTGAGGTGGTTAACAGTTTTATCTTGTTTGGATCCACAGTCAACACTCTTTTGGCAGTCTTTGGTATATTCAGTCTTCTTTGCCAACAGTTTGGTTCAAGGCATCAGGTCGTCAGGCTTCCTTATTCACTGTCCAACTTTCACATGCATAAAGTAAACAGGTATATCTTGGAAGAGGTGTAGCGCAAGTGTTTCTTAGAGGGAGAGATGTCAAAGCCTCGTCTCAAATAGTTTGGACACCTTGCTAGGAGAGGCTGCTCCTTGAAAAGGTGCATCATGCTTGGAAAGTTGAAGGGTCTCTGAAACAGAGGAGACCCTCAGTGACACAGTGACTGCAGCCATGGGCACAAGTGTCAGAGATGATGACAGTGGCACAGGATAGGACAGGGTTCTATTAGGTTCTCATAGCATTGCTATGAGTCGTAGTTGACTTGCAGCACCTAACAACAGCAGTGGCTTGGGTGAGACACACCTTAGCCCTCAAAGTGACATCCTGTTCTTTAGCACTTTTTTTTTAAATTTAGGTTGTTTATTTTTCATTTCAATGAACATCTGCAGAGATTTTGAGATTCCATTCATTCATTGTTGCACCCTTCTCCCCGCACAAACCCCTCCCCCTCCCTGCACAAACCCCTCCCCCCTCCCCCCCATTTGCTCCTCTCCTTGAAAAGCTAAAGAAAAACTCCCTCATTGGTACACAATCCCCTCCCCTGCAACTCCCCAAACCCCACCCCCTACCCCCAAATATAATCCACTCTGCAACCCTCATTGCATACTCCTTACGTCTATGGGGGAGAGAATAGTCTTTAGCACTTTTGCAGCAAATTCTCCCAACATAATATTGATGATACAAATAACTCACTTCTGAAAAGAGAAATGCCCCTCTTGGCTCATGTGGTCGTGAATATCAAATGAAATAATGTTGTAAAAGCATTTATTATAATACAATATAAAAGATAGGATACTGTGAGACTTCTTAGGTCAAAACATATCCTTAACATCTTTTCTTAGAGAACAATATTTTCCATCCCAGACCCTGATTATTGTTCAAATAATAAGACACGCACTTTCGAGGAATTACTCTTAAAATTTTCATGAGCTCATTTATCAAGCTAATTTCCTTTTTTTATCAGTAAGATGGAGGAAAAAAGTGTTTACTGCTTTGAGATTACAATGTGTTTTTGAATGTAAAGGAAAATTCATTAATCAGACTTAAACACCTACTACATTACCTGCCAGGGAGTGTTCTAGGAGCTGGATGGAGTCAGTAAAACCATTGCACTTGTGGCTTTCATAATCACGAGGAAATATGTTTTATAAAAGACGTATGTAATGGCATAACTGTTTATGTAAGACTGTGGTGTAGAACAAAAAGTTTAAGGAGGGAGTATGACCCTTTATGACAGGAAATTGGTTTGGCTGTTGTCTGCTTTTCTAACTTAAGAAGGAAGGTCAACAGATGTTTCTCAGTGATGGTTGTAGAATCTGGCAGATGGTTTTCAGGGACTGGCTATGCTAAAAGACTAAGGGTGAAACTTACTTTAAAAAAACAAAACCTTAGCAAATCTAAGTTCAAATCTTCTTACATAGGTTAAGGAGGGGGTGGGGCAAAGTACACTTAAAAGACTTCTATCCAATTTCTCTACAAAAAAATACAGTCCACTGACTAATGATGTGTGGATTGTAAAAATTAAGAGTAACAGCAAATGTTCAACCAGGAGGGAATAATAGGAAGGTTTTTAATAGAAACCCCAGAAAACTCATTGCCAGCAAGTTGGAACCGAATCATAGCTGACCCTCCAGCAGTTTCTCAGAGGCTATAAATTACCCTGGAAGAGGTTGCCTGTCTTTGTCCCTTAGATCAGCTGGTGGGACATCATGCTGGGTAGAGTAGAGGGACAGTGCAGGAGGGGAAGACGCTGTATGAGGTGGATTGATTCAATGACTGGGATAATCAGGATGGGTGTGTCAGAGGCAAAGAGATTGGCACAGGATAGAGCACGGTTTGGGGCTGTTGTACATAGGGTCGCTATGAGTCGCAAACGACTCGACGGCACATAACAACAACAACCACCTTAGGGTTGGCAGCACAACTCTCTACCAATTAGGATTTTTAATAAAATAGTTTATATTTGTGTCTGTCTTGATGTTTTATCAAATTATTAACTTTTTTCTTAAAATTCTTAAAATCTTTTGTATTTCAATTTTATGTTTTAAAAAATAAACATAAACGCTAGTATTTTGTCACTGATATGACATGTCTGAGGTTTGGTCTTTCATGGAATTGTAGGGTTCTCAGGCTGTACTTTCTCCATCCCTTTCTCACTCCATGTTGGAATGATATGTGTACAAGTTG